GCGCGGTCCTCTCTTCCTCTCCCCCCCCCCGCCCCCCGCGGCCCTCCGCCCCCGTGCGGCCCAACGCGAAGGGCCGCGGCGCCATTGTTTGCACTAGTGACCGGGCCTCGCCGCTCGCGCCCTCCGCCCCCTGTTTGACACCCTTCACCTTCACTCCCCCTCACCACCGCCCCTTTCTCTCGCTCTCTCTCTCTCTCTCTCTCTCTCTCTCCCTCCCCCTCACACACACATACCACACCCACTCACCCTCGGGGGGCAACCGCGGAAGCTCTTCTCATTCTTGTCAGCGGCTAGCGTCCCAACCCTTCCGCCCACTTAACACCCCTGAGGGGTCCGGAAGGCGGCGGGGGTTGGGGTCGGGGGGAGGAAGGTCTGTCTGTAGTGCCGGCCGGAGTGGTCGAGTGTCCACGACCCTATAACGAGTGAAAATGACGCGGCGAGAGAAGAAGACGGCGCGGATTTCGTGCCGACTTTCCGACCCAAAAAGATTTTTGGGGAATTCCCACAGGCAGGTCGTGTGCTGAAACATTTAGTATGAATAAGAAATCATGTGATGTGCCCATATGGTTTACCATGGAAGCTCTACATGGCTGAACTACTTTAGTTTTGCCAAGGCTCTTTACCTAATCGGTCCACTAAATATGCTAAATTGTTGTTTGAAAATATTAGCGTAACCGTCACCATCACCGGTCATAGAAATGCCGAGGCTTTCGTTCATTCCCAAAGTCACAAAAAACAGCGAAAATTTGCTACTTGCGCTTCTTGTTTACCTCAAAGCTGTGTATTTGGCTCTCTGAGCAGCGCATCACGAAGGTGGAAAATGAGCTATGAGCACAGGTTGCTTCTTTTCTGTGTATTAACCAATAAATTAACGACAATACTTTTAAAATTTCATTATTAATACCAAATTCTACTTGTGGTTAGTCTCAAAAACACACAATCTCAAGGTATTCAAGATGTCACTCTATTATTACGTAAGCGTAGCACATTAGCACTTATTTTGTTTTATCAAATATGAAAAAAAGAACATCAAATACTCAGTCTTCTCAGGCACGGGCACTGACTTTGAGGTGGAACCCGTTCTTCGCCCTTGGGAAGAAATTCTTTGGGTCGAGTTCGACCTCGGGCTCGTAGTTGGGGCCGGGGGTAAAGACGAAGTCCCGGACGAGCAGCGCGACCGTGAGCTTCATCTCCAGCATGGCGAAGCGCTCGGCGATGCAGTTCCTGGGGCCGTCGCCGAAGGGCAGGAAGGCGTAGGGGTGTCTCGCCTGCTTGGCCTCGGGCGTGTGGCGGCCCGGGTCGAAGCGGTGCGGGTCGGGGAACGTGCCCTCGTCCATGGCCGTCACCTGCGCCATGATGAAGAGGACCTGGCCCTTCTCGACGACGAGGTCGCCCACCTGGGTCGTGGCGTTGCACTTGCGGAAGAGGATCCCGGCGGGGTTCCAGAGCCGCATGGCCTCGAGGACGACGCGGTGCAGCAGGTCCATCTCCTTGAGAGCCTCGTAGGAAAGCTCGCCGGCGTGCCGACGCAGCACCTCCCGCACCTCGTCGGCCAGCCTCTGCTGCAGCTCCGGGTCGGCGCCGAGCCTGCTCAGGGCGAAGGCGATCGTGTTGGAGACGCTGTCCAGCCCGGCGAGGAAGAAGATCAAGGCCTGCGCCGCCATGACGCCGTGCGTGAGCGCCATGTGGTTGGCCGGGTCCACGTTGGCCAGGTCGGCGCTGCGCAGCTGCATCATGAGCTGCACGAAGTCGTTGCGCTCCACGTCGTGCTGCTCGCGGTACTCGACCGTCTCCTTCATCAGGTTGAGGAAGAAGCGGTGGGTGTCGGAGAACATCCACTTCAAGGGGAGCAGGGCGCCCAGCTTGGGATGGATCCCGATTAGGATGAAGCGGACGAACCCGACGGCCGATGTTCGGCCCAGCTTCCTCGACATGCTGATGAACTCGTTGTCTTTGTCGCGGAGGCTGTTGCACTCGATGCCGAACGCCACCGAGCCGATGACGTCGACGGCGTAGCGCGACAGCAGCGCGTCGATCTCCACCTCGTCCGCCCTCTTGGCCTCCGTGGCGACGTGGGAGCTGAGCTGGGAGGCGATGTCACGCATCATGGGCAGCATGAGCTTGAGCTTGCCCGACGTGAAGGTGGGCGTGAGCCGGTTCCGGAGGTTGCGCCATTTGTTGCCGTTGAGGTTGAACAGGTGCTGGCTCAGGGGATCGTTCTCGTCCGACGGCTGGCCGCGGTCGTGGAAGCTGCTGAAGTCCTTGCAGATGATCTGCCTCGTCATCTCGGGGTCCCACACCAGCAGCACTGGCTGGCTCCACATGTACATGCCGCAGTAGCCGTTCTCTTTGAAGGGCGCGACCAGGTCCAGCATGGCCGAGGAGAAACCCTTCTTGCCCGCGAAGAAGAAGCCAATGTTGCCGAGGAAGGGCAGCGGCCTGGGGAAGGGCACCCCCCTCTTCCTCCAGTAGCTGAAGCGGTAGCTGTAGTAGAGGTACAAGGTGGCCAGGACGGCGGCGGCCGCCGCCAGGATCGTCGTGAGCTCCATG